GATACGTAACGCAAACTACTCCAAAAAAATCCCCAGCAAGCGATGACCTGTCTGAAGGCTGGCGACTGACACCTTCCGACAGCACAAAGCCAGGAGTATTTCAGGAACAGGCTGCCCACTATGCTGTTTAGTTCCGTTTCACAGCTACCCCACACAGAACTACGCTGGAAGGAAGCCAGCACTGCCTGCTGGGCTCAAGCCTATCTCCCATAAAGACAGCCCTTGTTCACTTAAAACACCCAAGGGAAACTCAGCACTTCGGCTAGGAATCGCCCCAACGCCGAAACACGTATAGAAATCCTAATGGAAATTTGCCTTCGGTTTTTAAGCAAGTTGGTCTTTACGCTTGCGGCACCAGTTCAGGAAGAAGACCATCCCGAAGTCTGCCCCCTGCGTGGCGAGGGCGGCTCGCCTTGCCGGCCAGCCGGCCTCCTCCCCGAGAGCCTTAACACGAGAACGAGACCCCCTGCGAGAAGCAGAACGGGCACAGCGGTAAAACCCGGGGGCTGGCGGGAGCCGGGGCTGGCAAGCAGCGTGCGTCCGTGCTGGGACACCTCAGGCAGGGCAGGCGGGAATGGGAACAGAGCGGGAGCAGGAGGCGGCCGGGCAGTGGTGGCACGTGGGACCCACGTCTCTGAGAGCGGGCAGCCCGCTCGGTCCCTGGCAGGGCGGGACTCCTCGCAGAAACCTCGTGCTCGCCGATGCCACAGCAAAATCATGACATCCTTGAGGCATTTGTACACCCCCAGGTGTTTGTACACCTTCTGTCTGACTACATCATCATCATCATCATCACCTCCTGCTTTGCCAGCAGCAGCTTTGACTTGCAGCAGAGGGGGGTGAAACTGGACAACTGCCGCATCAGTAATGCCCACAGCCTACTGCGACAGGAGGGAAGATGTAAAGCCACCGTCATCCTGCAGTGACTTTGCCTAATTAGGATGGGACACGACCAAACAAACGGGCGAAGTAGCACACGACTTTACCCGCGAGCTTTTCCGTCATGTCTTGTTTCGCTTTTCCGCTCAGGAACTGGGCTTTTGTGCAGAACGGCTGGAGGAGCAGAGAGTTGTCTAAAGGCAAAGAACAAAACACGGGTGTTAAAGTTCTTAAACAGAAAATGAAACAATCTGGAAACAAACACAATATGGAAAAATGTAAAGAAAACCCTTACTTGGGATGTATTAACTTCAAACAGCACAGTGCTGTATTCTGAAGGCCAGGCTGGACGGGGCTGGGAGCAACCTGGCCTGGTGGGAGGTGTCCCTGCCCAGGGCAGGGGGTTGGAACCAGATGAGCTTTAAGGTCCCTTCCGACCCAAACCATCCTGTGATTCTGGGATTTAAGGGCATAAAGGCGTAAAAAGCCATTCTTAACAAGCCCTAACTCCTAGAACCTGGTGGAACATAGCGTATTTATTTACTGAGAAGACTCAGATTCTGCTCCAAAGCTGGAACAGTTGAGGAAGGAAAACAGTTGAGGCACACACACATCGGCAAGAATCTCGTCCTTTGACCTGTTTAAGAGACTCAGCAGCGTGACCAGCTTCCAGCCAACGGAACCACATGGAAGGGCTGAGGTGGGAAGGGACCCCTGGAGATCCTCTGGTCCAAGGCCCCAGCTCGAGCAGGGCCGCTGCAGCCGGCTGCCCAGGGCCACGTCCAGGTGGCTTTTGAACATCTCCAAGGACGGAGACTCCACAGCCACCCTGGGCAACCTGTGCCAGCGCTCGGTCACCCTCAGGGCAAAACCCACCCGCTAGGGAAAACCAACAAGACCACCCACGGGCTTCTGACACGTCCAGCTGGCGGCGTGTCTTTACTGGACCGGCAGAACATTAAGAGGACTTGTGTGGTTTTGAAAGTGTGAGAATAAATCCAATGATTCCTTACACAAGGTAATGATTGGATGGAAACTACTGGAAAGAGTAACTCTTCAAATTCAGAGTTTAATTAATACAATTAAAACACTTTAAAATTGAGAGAGGGGGAAATGACTTACCTAAGTGCTGACACAGAGCCTGAATAACGTTTGTGGCAGCTGCATAAATCCCTGGGTTTTTGGAGTTCAGGTTGTTGTCCACCATGGCGGGAATTAACATGTTGATGACGGGTGACAAATTGTCTTTCAGCAACGGAATCAGCTTGTGCATTGTCTCCAAAGCAACCTGATTTACTTTGCTGTTTGAGTCGTGTAAGCGAGACTTGAAAGCATCGAAGATCTGAAAGAGCACCCCAACAGCAGTCACCTCAATTAACAGTTCACGTGGGAGGGGGTTTCTACACTTCCTGCTTTACTGCTGCCCTTTAATCGTCCGTCTCAGCAAAAGACGTCTCTGACACGCAAATACCTGAGATCCACTTTTTTTTAGCAACTAAAGCAACATTTGGTATTTCTATACCGTGTTTTATTCAACTGCATCTCCCCTCGTCTGGATTTGAATCATCCCTGTACCACGCAATGGAGGAAAAGCAGCCACCTGTAACTTTCAGTATCACTAATATTTTCTGCAAGCAGGTATTTTTAGCAAGACACAGCTCTGTTTCGCAAAAAGAATGTTTTACAGCTTTCAGAAGCACCCACAGTTAAGATATTGCGCAGTTCCACACAAGTATTTCATCGTTCCACAGCAAAGACACTGCACTGTTCAAGATGATCTTGGTTTTCCGTTCATTACATCTACCTTTAGCTGACGGCCCTTGGACCCCATCGAAGTACTCCTCTCCTAAAGAGCCACCTTCCCTACCAGGAGCAGTACTTACCTTCAGCTTTACCACAAGCCAGACCCCTCCTCACCCTCCGGACAAACCAAGCCGGCAGAACGTGCAGCTGCGTTTCAGACTCGCTGCTCCTTTTCTAACCTGCTCCCATGTTTTGATACTTACTCAGCAGTGGCACGAAAACCTGCACGCAGCGTTCCGGAAACAGTTCAAAGAATAAGTGAAAACTTTCTGCTTCTTCCTCCTAGTTACTCCCTTTAGTACCTCTGTAGCTTACGCACCTCCCCCTGCGCACGCCCGACCTGTTCCTCAGTGTTCTCCTGCTAATCAGACATCCTTACTGCAAGAGGGAGCCAAGACTTTTACCAGAGAACTTTGTGACACGACTTTAAATAGAACTCTGAAACAGGATGTTTTCGCACGGTTACCTTCACGATGTTTGCCACAACAAAGCCTTGGTTGTTCTCTGCCTCTGACAGCAGCTGCTTAATGCCGTTTATTCGATCACGGAAGTCTTTGGCGTTCAACGAAGCTATCATGTCTTTAACGTGCTCTTCGCTTTCCAGTGTATTCCGAGGAGCTGCTTTTCTTGTTACCTCACGGCCTTCTGTAGTCTCTCTGTTGGAAAGGAAAGAGTCACTCAGGGAACACATAAGCAAGCTGAACCAGGGGCGTCTTTAACCTCAGACATTCTCCCTCCAGGTGAGCGCAAATATCAGAAGTAAACAGAGAATCTTGATGAAGGACTTTCACTTGAAACACAGCCATTTAAAAAAAAAAAAAAAAAAAGACCTCACATAATTGTTGTTCCTAAAGTCTCAACAGAGATTCCACTCTGAACACACATATACCTATCACACCAGAGAGACGCCTCCACCAGGCAGGAGCCCAGTGCTGCTTCCAGTTGCCGTCCAGGAGCAGCTGGGTTTGTGACCAGCGACAGTTGTGAACTGCCCTCGCATCAACGGGTCAAAAAAGAAAAAATAAAAAGTTACTGGAGCTTAATTCTTTGTTCTCAAAGTACTTTAAACGCTGACCCCCGTCTAGGTGGCACCTAAGCAACATACCGTGCGGAGGTGGAAATTCAACAGCTCTTCATAGAGTATTGTGAAACAAATTTTCTGTAGCAGCTAATCTGATCAGACAGTCACAGAACAAATTATTAAATCTGTGGAATCCCTCCTCTGTCCAGGGAAGTATCCGGCATTTAGAGACCGGTCCAGACAGAGCCGCCAGCTCACTCCTGACTCCTGAACAGAAGTCTCTGATGGAGGAGGGAGTAAGCACCTTCCTGGCATTTCCAAATCCAAACCTCTCAGCTGGGCCAAGAACAAAAGGCGCAGCAGCACCTCCGGCCCTGCCAGGGCTCCCCAGGCCGCTGGAGCTGCCCGCCCCACAGGGAAGAGCCTTCGGCCCAGGGCGGGAGGTCGCACCCCTCCTGAGGGGCGGACGTGCAGCTCCACATGCCCAAGCAAAACGACCGTCCCACGTGGAATTTGTGTTTTGAACAGCGGAGAGCGCGGTCAAGGCTGCCCTGCACACGCCGTCCTCACCCTGGGGCAGCCACAGCCCTATGAACTCTGGATTCTTGGACGCGGTTTTTTGGCTCGGTTTAAATTTTTTGGGGGGTTTCTTTTTCAGTTCAACAGCAGACCTATTAGGAGACAGAAAACTGCAAACGGGCAGAGCGTCACCCAAACCCTTGGGCAACCCCGGCTGGGATCTAACTCAGTACTTCGTGCCCAGGTACGAACAGGGACCTTGCGCTGCGGCTGCCGCGGGGCACGGTTCCTCTGCAGGCTCTGAACGGCAACACCTTGAACTGAGGGTGACACGGATCTGCTGTGAATTCCAAGTGCAGTCTGGGTGCACTTTCACAGGCAATCCACAGACAAATTAACTTCGAAACGCACAAAGGCACTTCAGTATTACCTATTACCCTATTTACAAGAGTTCACCCACGACATGTCAATTTTTTCCTTTTCCTTTCCCTTCAGGTATGTTTGATTCACAACCCTGCTGAGAATATTTCAATGTTCTCTCCTCATGGAGGCCGGTAACCCAGAGGTCAGCTACTAACAGGGCAGAACACTGAAGATCATTACCTGTCCGTGATGTTGAGAGCATCTCTGGAAGTGGACGATGACCTCGAGTGTCCGACATTACCAGTATGGGAACGTCTTCCTTTTGCTGAGGGTGTATCCAACGGCATCTCCCCCAAACCCTGCACAAAGGTGCAACCCTTAATTAACGTGGCTGGTACAGCTCTGCACTGCTGGAGACCCTGTGAAAGCAAGTCTGGCAGCCACGCCAAGTACAGCAGCAAAGCCCCTTTCACCCAGCGTACCTCCGAGGAGCACGGGCACGCACGGGACAGCCAACAAGCAGCACCTCGCCACGCTGCAGGCACTCGGTCACGTGCCCGGCTCTGAAGGCACTCCCCCCGCTCACTGGGGGTTCATTGCCTGCACGTTTACATTAAACAAGAGCTTTTCCACGTACCTTTTCACGCAGATGGCTAACAGATTCCTTAATGTAAGGCAAATCCTTGGTTGGCACGTACTTCTCAAGCATTTTATCAAAATCAGGATGACCCATCATATTGAAGAGCATCTTTCGACCGTAATACCTGCAGGGCAACAGACCAGGACAGACACATCTGTAAACACGGATTTGCTTTGTAACTCTTGGTAATGGCAGGTGTGTGATTCTGAAATACAGAAGCGCAGGAAGATTGCTATCTGTGCGTGTTACCAGACACCCTTTTCATAGAAGGATCACAGCACGGTTTGGGTCGGAAGGGACCTTAAAGACCACCCAGTGCCACCCCCCTGCCCTGGGCAGGGACACCTCCCACCAGAGCAGGTCGCTCCCAGCCCCATCCAGCCTGGCCTTGAGCCCTGCCAGGGAGGGGGCAGCCACAGCTTCCCTGGGCAGCCTGTGCCAGGGCCTCACCGCCCTCACAGGGAAGAATTTCTTCCTAATATAATATCTAATCTAAATCTCCCCTCTTTCAGTTTGAAACCGTTACCCCTCATCCTATCACTACCCTCCCTGATCAAGAGTCCCTCCCCACCTTTCCTATGGGCCCCCTTTCAGCACAGGGGGGTCTCCTGGGTGACCTGCTCCAGATGAACCCGCTTTAGCAGGGGGTTTGACGAGTTGATCCCCAGAGGTCCCTTCCAACCCCCACCAGTCTGTGATTCTGTGGTTCACCAGAGCGGAGCAGAGAGGGGGGGAATCCCCTCCCTCGACCTGCTGGCCACGCTCCTCTTGTCGCAGCCCAGGATGCGACTGGCTTTTCATCCCCCCACAAGAAACTCTGCGGAAGGGTCACTGTTTAATCAACAACCGAGCAAAGCAAGGAGATCACTCTTCTGTTTCAGCCATCTTTAAAGAGGCTGGTCCCGCCCTGTCAGTCCCCGGGCCAGCATTCCCCCCACAGCCTGCACCCCGGCTGTGCCCAGCAGTGTATCCTTCGAGCTCCTCTCGTCCCTGCAGCGCGGGTGGGCCCAGCTGCAGCAGGCCGTGGGGTGCTTCCCATCACACGGGCCACCTCGGCAGCCCTGGCAGGGCTGGCTTTATGGTCGGACTCGAGGGTCCCAAGGGTCTTTTCCAACTCAATGACTCTACGACGCCGTCCTCTGCCACCGCAGAGGAACACACGCTGAGAGGTTCCAGCCACCCACCCGCAAGGTGTTTCGCTTACCTCTTACCCTCACTGACCTTGTTTGCTGTGAGCTGTCCTGGGCGAACCTGGCTATGGCAGGGAACACCCGATCGGGGACAGCTTTGGGTCCGGACAGAATCCGCTCCGGCCCCATACGCTCTGCGATGTCCGAGAGGTGCTGGGCCGTGCATCGCCTCACCGCCGAATGCAGGTGGCTGAAGGAAACACAGCGGCTTAGTGAGAACTCACCCCGGGAGCTAAACAGCAGTACTTATGTGCTCTACTGAACGGGGCATACAGGTCTGCTCTTTTCATCTCTAGCATAACCTACAACTAGGATCCTGCAGATACGCAGCTACTTATTCTGGCTGCGTAGAGGAGACCTTGTGGGGCAAAGACAAATAACTTCATTTAGAAGGGTAATCCGCCCGGTTACATTTCATTTCATTTGCTTAAAATCGCAAGTGAAAAAAAAAAGAAAAATCGCATTCTTTTTGTTTAAAGTCAGTTTTGACCTTTAACTGCACCTTTGGGATTGGCAAAACTTCTTTTTAGAATTTAATTCCTAGTTTGCCTCAAAATAACTGTAAATTATTTTAGCAAGCACAGTACTATGATGTTCTTTCCATCAACTATATGAAAAACAAGTCCCTATGCTTAGAAACACATCCTGCGTATTTTCTACCAATTTAAACCCAAATAAAGCAGTATTCTACTGACTTCTAAAAATCCTGCAGAAGAGTACCTTCTACAAAATGGGGGCCATTAAACACCTAAATGAGAGAAAAGCTGGAATCAGTTTTCAAACCTGTGCAGCAAACTAACCTTTTATGTAAACTCTGCTGTACCTGCTGACCCCACGTGTTTTCAGAGTACACAATTCTGCAAATTCAAACTTTTCCAATTTTACTTTTACGTTTGGATTAAAAGCCCCGCTCTGAGGAGAGTTTGGCTGCACAGTGAACGAGGCGTTTGTACGGCTCATCGTTCACAGGGAAAACCAGGTTGAAAGGAGAGAGCTGAGGAAGAGAACGGACTCGGTAAACCAGCTCTGCAGCCCGACACGACCATCCAGCGCTCTTCCTGCACGACTGCGCTCCCATTTCACCAGGATTTCGGCTCTCTCTGGTTCCACAGATCCCCACGGCCTCACTGGAAGCACAGCTACCACTAGATCGTGCTGCACCGAGCAGCGTCAGTCTGCACCAGGAGACCGAACCGGCTCTGTTCAAGCTGCCGAACGCGGCGGCTCAGGACC